CATATAAACCGCTTCACCAATCATTTTGCACTATTAAAAATTTTTATGATAAATATTGATTACAATTTATATAAATTTATTTATTTATCAAATAGTATGCCTGTTACCTGTTCTGTTAATATGTCACCAATATAACATATTATAAAAATATTGAAAATCATAGAGAGAAGTATTACTAAAAATACGACTAGATTCTGAATATCATGAACGCTCCATGCCTGAAAAGTAAAAAACTTTTCAAATTAATAATCTATTATAATATTAAAATTAAAAAATATATATATATACATTTTGTTTAAAAGTTCTAGAATATTTCAAAAGGAAAAAAATTAATTAACTATTAACAAGTATTTTATATACATGTATTTATAATATGTTATATAATATTATATAATATGTAATCATTTTTTAAATTAATGTTTGCTGATGACTTGATATTATCATTGATAGGCGTAACTTTATTGATAATCGACGATTACAATATTGATACAAGTTGTCGAAAAAAACGTATATTAAAAATAGCATACTTATCATTAAAATTTTAAATTAAATTTTTCTCAATATAAAATTTTCTAGATCTTCAAACGTTGTAGATCATCAAAATGTTTTAAGATTTTTTCTAGATCTGTTAAAAACGTACCGTAAGAATATAATATCCAAGCATGCATATGTTTATAGTACATTTGAACAATTCCATGAAACATATTCCACTCATTACATTTTCGATACCTGTTACAAAACTGTAGTCAATGTGTACTTAAAATCTCTCTCATCAAGATCGTATAACAAAAATTGAATTAAATCAAAATTAAATAAATTAAAATTTTACCTCAAAATCCTGAGATGATGTCGAACGATTTTGCCTATCTTGTCCAATCCAATATTTTTATCGTGAATTTTTTTCGAACGATCCACAAATTCACGAATCCATACCATTAGAACGCTTAATTGGCCGCAGGCATGAGCTGCAAATACAGCTGCGATACTGACAGCTCCAACTGCACTTGAATTCACGATGAATCCGGACACAAATTGCGATGCAATAACAATCTCATTTGTGGGACTTGTATCGACCGCGATCAATTTTTTGTATGCTGTACAAGGTATCATATGTATGGTTTTAGTCACATTACCGATCTCAATGGTTTGCGTGGAGAATGCTGTCACTGCGCAATTGGATAAAACACCACCTTGCATGAAAGCGGCGCTAAATACAGCTATGTAACGGCCTATCTTCGCGTGTTTCATCATTATTTGTTGATCCTCTGTTCTTGTCACGATCCTCCAATCTTTTTGCATGTGTTCTATACAATACCGTATCTCTTTGCTCCGTAGTAACAATGTGGTATAATTAATGCCACCTATGAACCAATGACTCAGTGGACCAAGCACTTTCAGTTTGTCACGGAAACTTTCATCTTCTAACATCACGTGCAATAGGCAAGGGATCACGGTGAAACATATGGAGGAATAACAACAAATAATTAAAACAAAAGAAATAATTTTCTCGAGTTTTGTAGTAGACGGAGATGGAGGCCATGCGCCTATTGGTTTCAAAAACCATCGATTTAATTGTATACTGTAGTTGCTGAGATTGTTATTGGCTTGTTCAATCGATACAAACTTGTCGATCATTGTGACCACTCAGCGAAGTCGCGAACACGACTGAATCGAATATTTTCTTTGAATGGAGCATAGATATAGTTTCACGACGCTTGCGAGAATTTTTTTGTCTCAATATATGTGGATCGATTTGTCTAGTCGGTCTTTGCAACTTGTTGCAGTTCTATATGCGAATGTATAGGGTTAGGAGTTATTGATAGCTGTCGTGGGAATATGCAATCCGCGATTTAAACGGTTTATTGTTTATCATCGCGAAATAAAATTTGTGAGATATTTTGTGCAATGTTTAGAAAAGTGAAATATACTCGATTATCATGGAAATAAAATTTGTAAAATATCGAGAGAAATTATATTTTTGCTTCTCTTTTCAGAAACTTATTATTTAAAAATTGCTTGTACATTTTTGAAAAAAGGAAAAGACACATATTTGATTATTTATTAGAAATTTTATATTGTGTTTCAGATTTTAAATCTGAAGAATTAAGAAGATCGAAGAAAAAATAGATGAATTAGACGCCAAAGGAATTATTCGATTCATGAATTTCAATTGTTACATTGATAAATTTTAGACGGTAATTAATATAATAATTTTTTGTAAAGTATAAAATTTATGCTTTTTTATTTAGAATATTTCAAAGTGTATATTTATGAGACAATGAAACAAATCTCGATTTTATTTGAATTATAACATGAGGATTTTAAATTATATAAATGAGATATGATACGTATTAATTTTTATCTGTAAGTTTAGTTTTTTATCTTAATGTATAAAATTACATAAAGTACGTTTAGTCACGTCACATGTCGTAATAGATTGAAATATGTGAAAGTTGTTTTCATTACCTGGAATAACAATGGCTTTTATGAAGGAAAACATTTATAATGACAGATATACATACAATATAATAATCTTACATTGCCAAATGTATATATGGACATATGAGTTAGTTTACCAGCTGTGATTTTAATAACAGCATTGGATCTTGAGATGATCAAAATCAAATCAAGAATGTCTTTACAAGGTAAATAATACCAGTTTGTCATATAAAGTACTTCACCAACTTTTCTACACTATAAAATTTGAAATTGATTATATCTTGAATCATATAATGTTATGATATTGTATGTTTGTTACCTGTTCCATTAGTATATCACCAATATAACATACTATAAAAATGTTGAAACTCATAGACGTTAATATCATGAAGTACGTAGTTAAATTACGAATATCATGATCGGCCCATTCCTGAAAAAATAAATATTTCAATTATCTATATTGTTAAAATTAATCATAGATACTTCTAATTCTATTAATTTATGGATCGTAACGAAAATTATAAAAATTCCTTATCAGAATTATTAATTAAAATAATATATTAATATTTTTCCTTCGTACCGTAAGAATATAATATCCAAGCATAGATATATCTAACGTGCTTTTGAATAATTCCATAAAGCAAAATCGATTCAACACATCCTCGATACCTGTTATGAAACTGCAATTAATATGTACTTAAAAAAATGCAGAAATCAATATCATAAATAATAATCAACAAATAAATCTTACCTCAAAATCCTGAGATGATATTCAACAATCTCACCTATTTCATTAATTACAACATTCTTATTATTATCCTTCGATCGATTTATATATTCACGAATCCATCTTGTAATTATTGTCAATTGGCCACAAGCATGAGCTGTGAATACGGCGCCAATGCTGATGGCGCCAACCGCGATCGAGTTTACTATAAATCCAGACACAAATTGGGAAATGAGGACAATTTCATTTGTTGGACTCGTATCAATTGAGATTAATTCTTTGTACACTGCACACGGCAACATATGCACGATCCTTGTCTCGTTACCGATTTCTATAATCTGCGTGGAGAACGCAGTTACCACACAATAGGTGAGAACGCCACTTTGCATGAAAACAGCGCACAAAGCAGCGATATACCGTCCTATTTTTGCGTATTTCATCATAATTTCTTGATCCTTCGCTCTATTCACGATCTTCCAATCCGTTTCCATGTGTTCTATGCAATACTGTATTTCTTTATTTCTTAGTAACAATGTGGTATAATTAATTCCACCTATGAACCAATGACTCAGTGCTCCAAACACTTTTAATTTCATATGTAGATTTTCGTCTTCGAGAACGATGTGAAATAAACAAGGGATGACGGTGAACAATATAAAGCCGTAACAAAGTAAAATTAAAAAAAACGAGACGATTCTTTCGAGTTTTGAACTTGATGAGGATGACGGCCATGCGCCAATTGGTTTCAATAACCATCGATTTAATTGCAAGCTATAATCGCATAAACTATCAAAACTTTCTTCCGATATTACAGACTTGTTCGTCATCGTGTCTATCGAAGTTGTGGAAATGTCTGAATCGAATATTTCCAATAAAAGGAGTATGTTCATCAAGTTGCATAACGCTTGCGCAAAGTTCTTTGTACGATTATAAGCTGATCGATTAGTTTAGTTAGTCTTCACAATTTGTTGCAGGGATACACACAAATATAAATACATATTAGAAGTTGATGATTATTCAATGAATAGTGTGATAGAGGTTTAATAAATTTAATTGAAATGATATAAAAAAATTGTAATAAAAATTTGTGAAATGATAGTGCATTCAATGATATATTTTGAAATTAATTTTTTATAAATATAAGTCAATTAAAAAATGTTGATATTTAATATATCAGAATATACGGATATTGAATCGTATTATTGATATTGCATTAGAATTATGTTTGAATAATGATAAACAAAGACAAACTGATTTTTATCTTCTAATGTATACAAGTCTATTTAAACTTTGATACAATTAGAAAATAAAAATGATTAAAAAAAAAAAAAAAAAGAATACGTATCAGATATAACGATACGTAAAAATCAGAATAATATTTCATATTATTATCAATGATTATTTTTAACTCAAGAATCGGCAAAATTGTTAAGTTTAGGATAATAAACATCCGTATCATATTCAAAATCAATTTCATTTTTAATACAATATATAGACACGTGATCTTTTTACAACAAGTGTCTATTTACTATCAAAAGTAAAATATCTATATTACAAAAAATATGATTTAAGTCAATGCTCGCAACATGTTTAAAAAAGCCACCGATGTTTTTACAACCTATTTGTTTAAGATAATTTTGTTAATTTATAAATTCAAATGAGAAGTATTAGTAATTAAATTATTATACTTACGTCACTAAAAGTATAAATAGATAATTCAACCATATTTCCAGCTGTAAATTTTATCGATGAATTGGACATTGCAATGATTAAAACACAGCAAAGCTTTTTCTTGCCTGTTAATCGGTACCATTCGATCATATATGTCATTTCTCCAACTTTCTGACACTGTATTGAAATATTATTCATTTTCATTAATTTCTATTGAATTATTAGTTTAAAATTAATCGAAATTATATTGCAGGTATTTGCAGTAAAAATATCTTACCTGTTCGGCAACCAGATCACCTATATAACAAAATATAAAAATGTTGAAGGTGAACGATATGAGTAATGATATGTAAGTTAACGAAAGTGATATTTCTTTCGGATTCCATTCCTATAAAATCAATAAAATTTGGTTTAGTGTGTCTATTGTTTCGGAATTTTTTATTGCATGCATACCACT